AATATGATTAGGACCCTGGGCAATGCATTTTCTTGGGCCCCCTGGGCCCTACTCCTTCCCCCCCAATCCCCTAATTACACCCAACCCGCAATCATACTGACAGACATACTGACACATACGCACACAGACATATTAAAACATTCTCAGATACATACTGACATACACATACACTGACACACAAATATATACTGGTAGACATATTGACACACATTCAGACATACTGACACACACACAGACACACATTCATGAATACACAGACACATAAACTGACAAATATACTGACACACACAGACGCATACACTGACAGACCTATTGACACACGCACACAGGCATTCTGACACAGACACACAGGCAGACATACTGACAAACACACAGACATACTGAAACACAGACAGACAGACATACTGACACACACACACAGGCAGACATACTGACACACACAGACATACTGACACACACACAGACATACTGACAAACACACACACAGGCATACTGACATATACAGACACACACAGACATACACACAGACATACTGACACACACACCGACATACACATACATACACAATCATACTGACATACACACACACACATAGAGACATACACACACACACACAGACAGACATAGACACACACACAGACTTAGTGACACACAGACATACTGACATACACACACACACAGACAGACATAGACACACAGAGACATACTGACACTCACAGACAGACATACTGACATGCACACAGACAGACATAGAGACACACACACACACACACAGACATACATTTAGCCACCCTCCAGTTTCTTACCTTTTTCTGGAGGGTGGTTTCCCTGGTCCAGTGGCAGGCTGAGGCAGATGGGAGTTCTCCTCTGGAACTCCCCTCCCTCCCTGCGTGGTTGTGATCTCCGGTGGGAGGAAGTGACGCGCAGCACTCACTTCCTTCCAGCCGGCTGCCGAAGAGGAAGGGGCCCGGTTGCGCTATTTAAGTGTCACAGCGCCCGACCGGGCCCCTGCTGACACATGCCCACCGGGTGGCCCTTAGTGCATGGGCCACCCGGGGGCCCTCTTTAGCGTGCGGCTGGTGTGGCTCTTTGCAGCCGCCCCGCCAGGTCCATGGGAGCTGCTCAAATCGCGGGGCCCACGAGGCAGCTGCTCTGGGGCCCCTCAGGAGCAACTGGGCCCGGGGCAGCTGCCCCGTTTGCCCCGCGTTAAAGACAGCCCTGATTGACCACATCCGCTAACCCTCTGACCATCATCCACAACCCAGACCTAGGCGGGGGCTTATCCCCTGCTGACCTCCACAATCTTCACCAGCCGGACTGGTCATATATTCGCCAGTAGTGCGACGGTGCGCAACTCAAACCTATGGCTATTATGTTCCCTGACTCTGCCCCGACAGTACCGCTATCACCAAATCAGAACTTACTACTTTGCGAGCCCCGGGAAACATCTACTGCACGGGGATCTCACCCACTTCGAGTCGCTCTGCACATCCCGCCAGCACATGACCAAAGGCATCTCCATGTTATATAACATGCTCTTGGGGGGGGACAGGCGTCCGCCCTTACGGTCCATCACAAAATGGGAAAGTGTGACAGGAGAGACGCTGACTGACCAAGACTGGGATAAAATTTACATACTAACGCACAAATGCTCAATCAGCTTGAAATACCAAGAAACAAGCTATAAGCTACTATCTGAAAAACAGAGAATAGAGTCAGCGCTAATATAGCAAACAAAAAAGGCAGCAATCCCAAACAAGGACTCCCTCACATGTCCTTGGAGTAAATGGAAAATGCAAACAAACAAAGGGATGGGACTGCGCCAATAAACAAGGTAAATTAATTAAAGTCCTGGTAGGGGTAGTAATAATACAACAAAGTCCAGTATAGTGGAACTTGAATCCTAGGTTGGTCTCTGGAGTTTTAGGGTTCTGCTCCTTGCAGGTTGAGAAGGGTGATGATACAGGGTGATCCAAGAGATAATATAAATAGAAGAGATCTTACTCACTTTTTTTAGAGCGTAATCCAGCTCTGGTGTGAATAGCTTGCAGCGGTATGATCCCCGCTTGTAGGATATGCGGTGAGTGTCCTCTTCGGTACAGTAACAGACAGCCAGTAGGAAGATAAACCGAAAACAATAATGGTGCAGTATATTCCAAAAAATTGGATAAGAAATATTAGAATATAGTAGAACCACTCACATTTGATAGAGCTTCTACTAGCTCTAGTGTAGTAGGCATACAGCGATATGATCCCCGCCTCTGGGATATATGGTGAGCATTCTTTGAGATGGTAACAGGAGCTCGAAAAGAAGATAATAAAACAGCAATAGTGCTCTCAGTAAAATATTTGTGGTATTTAAAATATAATAAAATATACTCACAATATATAGGGCAGGCTAACTGCTTTATGACACGGGCACGGGTGGTATAATCCCCACCTAAGGATTATTTGGAGTATAAGGAAAAGTAAAATGAGATAAGAAGCCAGGTAGTAGTAAAAAAATAAAAATGTAAATAAAAGAAATTGGTGCAAAAGAGTAAAAAGACCAAAATCTATTTATTAACAATAATTTAAAAGCAATACAATATCCAAACGTGTTTCACCAATATAGGCTTTCTCAATGGATT